GAATATTGGTGAATAGCCATCAGTCTGGCCTGAGCCTCCCCAGAGACACGGGGCCCGGGCAGAGAACACCTCGTTTTTCTCGACACTGGTCCGCGGCCTCCTTCACGGCAACTTAGGATCATGTCTGTCCTCGCCTGGTTCCCTGAGAGGGGAGAGTCAGTGTCAGGAGGGGCCTCCTGGGCCACCCTCCAGCCCACAGCCTGGTCAGACGGGTAGTGGGGGCGGCGTGGCCTAATGCGGGGCCCCGCAGACAGTTCCCGAGCTGGGCGCGAGTGCCGGCGGTGCCGTGGCCGCCACGACACAGCGCTCGGACTGGATGGCCTGGCCCCAGGGGTTCGCTTCTCCCAGCGCTGCAGGCCGGAAGTCCAAGGCGCCACAGGTGGCTGTCTGGCGAGGCCACCTTCTCACAGTGTCCTCACGGGGCCTTTCCTCCGTGTGGGCATCCCTCGTGCCTCTCCCGCCACCAGTCACACTGGATCAGCCCCGCCCTGTGGCCTCATTCACTTCCATTGCTCGTCAAAGGCCTCACCTCCAAATGCAGTCACATTGGAGGTGGGGGCTTCAACATGTGAACGTTGGGGGACACAGGTCGGTCCATGACAGGTGGGAAAATGCAGGCTACCTAGATCTGTTCCATTCAGACGCTCGAATGGGAGTTTGGACTCGGCCCCTGGGGACGGTCGGTCCTCAGAAGAGCCTGGGACTCTGGGTGGGGGTGGGGGGTGAGCGGGCCACCCCAAGACCCTGGGCACAGAGGGATTACTTTTGCTTCCTGGCTGTGCTATGGAAGGGGGCTGCGGGCTGGGATAACACTATGAAGATGCTCGCCAACTGATGCTAAACCCGGCGGCTCCCCAGAGACACTGCGGTGACAGTCCCAGCTGGAGTGCCGGTGATTTCTCTGATGTGTCGTTCCCTTTCTCTGGAGGAAAATCTAAATCTCCTGAGAAAAATGTGCTCCCGCGCTTCCTGAACTTGGTGGGGAAGGCGGTGGGGAGACAGACGGGTCTCAGGTCCACAGAGGGGCGTGGCTTCGGGTCCACAGAGGGGCGTGGCTTCGGGTCCACAGAGGGGCGTGGCTTCGGGTCCACAGGCCGGCACGGGAAGCGTGTGAACACACTCAGCATTTGGAGCAGTAGTTATTACAGACTCATGAAAACAAGGCTGCCTGGTTCTGGCCCACATGGTTCTGCCCTGGTAGAGGGGATGGTGTCAAAATGTCAACAAGAGCCTGTCGTTCGCATACCCTACCCGACCCCCTCCAGCGGCCTGGGGCCAGCCCCACCTCCCCGACTCCGCCTCCTCCCTGAGCCCCAGTCCTTTCTCTGCACCCCAACAATGGGCTTTCTTGTCGTAGTTTGGGACTCAAAGCCAGTGTCACCTCCTGGGACAAGCCCTCCTTGACCCCTCTAGCCAGAGCAGCAACGCGAAGCGCGGTCCTGGGCGCGCAATGGCCAGAGGTCAGAGAGGTGGAGACCGACAGCGACCCCGAACCTCTGCCGGTGCTTTGACGTGGGCCTGTTCCAGGCTGCGCGCTTCCTGCTGGGGACTGTTCCCATTTTGCACATACAGAAACTGAGGCTTACTAGGATGAAGCCATTCTCACGACACAGGTTTGGCTGACTCCTTGGCCACTCTGCTGTTCTGCTGCCCATGGTGGATGCCAGGCCCGTCCCAGCCCTTGTCAACTGCAAAACCACCTGGACTGGCCCCCGGGGAGAAATGGCTGGAGTGGCCTGTGATGCATAAGCACAGAGGATTTTACCCTTGGCAAAGCATCCAGGCATCAGTGGCTTAGTCGTCGCAGGGGCGGAATACAGCGGGAGGAGCAACGTGATTACTGGCAGATGCCAAACGGAATAGTCCATCAGGCACGAACAGTGCCCCTGGGAGACCAAGCCAGGATTCGTCAAATTCGGGCCGGTCTAACTGAGGCAGCCCCGAGGACAGGCCTCCTGTGTGAGCCCAGCCCAGGATGGGAGCCCGGATGGCGGATGGAGGGAGGGGGCTGCGGGCTGGGATGCAGGTGCTGGTTTTACCAGGGAGGGACTCCCTGCAGTGGCACACTCACGCTCACACGCTCACGCTCACTCGCACTCACACACACCTCTGCTCTGTAGCGTCTCTCTCCATCTGCCCCAGTGCATCGTCCCGTCTGCCTCGTCTCCACTCCCCTGGAATGTCAGCTCTGGCGACCACAGGGAGTTGGCCGTGTTCACTGCTGAATGCCTGATGCCTAGACCAGTGCTCAGCAGACGTTTGTAGAATGAATGGGTGAATGAGTGAATGAATGAATGAATGAAGAACGAGCAGGGCCTGGATCCCTGTCAGCTCCATGCTGCCTTGCAAAGGCTGGAATGACTGAGCGTAAACATAATACCGACAAGGAAAAGACAACCATATTGATGGGGCAAATAATTTGACATATAAAACGAAGACAAACACCCTGGAAAACTAAAATTCACAGATGACTAATTGCCTATAAACAGAGAGAGAGGGAGTGAGCGTTGTGGACGGGCTCGGCCAGTACGGGTGAGCAATGATTCAGGCCCCAGCCGTCTGCACGTCAGCGGCGGAAAGCTCCCCGCCTCTGCCCAGCTGCCCTGACCCCTTGTCCTCCGGGTGTCAGGACAAAGATGCCATCGACCCAGGGGTCTGGATGAACTGAGCCGGGATAGGTCACCATGACGGTCCCCGGCGTCCCCACCAGGCGTCCTTCAAGGACACGTGGCTCTTTCTTCGGTGCTGCGTTTGGAGCAAGGTGTTTACCCCTCTCTTGGTAACACTCGTCTGAATCAGTTTCGGGGTGCTTTTCTTTTTCAGTTATATTTGCCTAGAACTTATGAGCTGTAATGGCTTGACATTTTCTTAAGAAGCTTAAATTTAGCAGCAGGAAAATGACTTGATTTCAGCATTGGCAACAGAGAAGCTTCCGGGGAACTTCCTGCTCGTCACAGTCACAATCTTGCCATGCAGGGCTTGAGGGAGGGAGGTGTGTGTGTGGGGTGCACTGGGGTGACTCCGGCAGAACGAAGGGTGGGCCCTCGCTCAGCACTGGGGCACAGCTCTGCTGCTGGTAAGGCCAGAGTGCTGTGCTCCCTGTGGCTTCATGTCTATAACCAAACCAAGCGGCCATGACATGGGGACAATCACGGGGAGGCCATGGGCTCCTTTAAGCACCTCATCTCACTGCCACTGTTTCAAACCAGACAGACATTAGGAGCCCAGGTGGTCCCTTGAGGCTGCTGGTGGCCCAGGGTCTGTAATTAGCGGCCACATCTGGAGTGGTGTGTGGGGGGACTTTCTCACTGTTACCGGGCAGGTTATGCTAATGAGCACCCCCACTCACCAATGTCATATGTTTTAAAGTGCTTTGCCATGTTGGCTGTCCAGCTTTACATGGAAGGCACAGGGTGGCTGTCAGGCCAGCCGCCTGCCATTCGCCCCTGCTCTGCCAAGGTCTAACACGGCAGGGCGGGGTCGTGGCAGAGCCCAGGACTCAGAAACCCTTGGACCCGCCAGCAGCAGGATGACGTGAGGGCATGTTTTAGCCTCCACATCCTGTTTTCTTTTGTCGAAACAGGAGCTTCTGTAGGTCCTTCCTGGGGGCCTTGTGAGGATGAAATGGGACAGAGCCTGGTGTGTTGGGGACACATGCCGCCCCCTCCTTGCTCTCCCCTTCCCCGCCTCCCTTCCTTTCCCCCATCCTGCCTAACCCCTGCGGCTCTAGCTTTCCTGACAGTGGGGGAATTGGAGTGAGACGCGGGGGGGGGGGGCGCCCATCACTGTCCTCTGTTTGTCTATCTCTCCGTCCGTCTGTCTGTGTGCGTTTCCTGGGGCCGCTGGAACAGATGACCACAAACTGGGTGAAAAGCAATAAGAATTTATTCATTCTCCCACAGTGGTAGAGGCTGGACGCCTGGAGTCACGGAGCGGGCAGGCAGGGCCTCGCTCTCGCCAAGGGCTCCAAGGACTCTGTCTGCCTTTTCCAGCTTCCACGGGTGCCAGGCGTCCCTGCCATCTTGCCTCTGTCTTCGCGTGGCCTTGTCCCCTGTGCGTCTGGGTCAAGTCTCCCTCTGCCTGTTACTGAATTTAGACCCTCGATCCAGGAGGCTCTTCTCTCCTTGACACCCTGAACTACGTCCACAGAGACCCTTTCTCCAAATAAGGTCACAGTCACAGGTGCCAGATGTGCACACGGTTTTTTTGTGGGGTGGGGGGCACAATGCACCCTACCACGCTGTCCCTTTGGGGCAGCCACCGTGGGACCGGAACCTGTCCGAGGCCGAGGAACAGCTGAGGGTGACGGGGAAGGTGAGGAAGGGCCGGGTGGTCTCCGGAAGGGTCGCTGGCTTTGCCCGTGAGCGAGGGAGGCCGGGGAGCCAGGCCTGCTTCCTGCACTTCGCAGGGCAGCACTCGAGAGAACGGCTTCGATGGGCCGTGCCATTGTCACGGGCTCCATAATCAGGCATCATCGCGATGTGGGATAAAGCCGCCTCCAGAAAGTTGATTCGATTGTGGATTCCTTTCTCTTTCAAAATGAAAATTGCTTTAGCGATTACATTATAAAATCATACCATGAAAAAAGTAATATATTTTCGTTTTTCAATTTCCTGGGTAAAAAGGAAAGAGTAAAAGTCACCCCTAAATTCCACTCCCCGCCCACTTCCTTCCAGACATCCCTCTCGTGCCGACTGTCCCTCCTGTGGCACACCGAGAGCCACACCTGTCACCCTTAGCACCTGCCCGGGCTCCGATATGTGGCTCACCTCTGGTGTTGATGCCTCATCCCGTATTTTGGGCCCTAGGTTGTCTTCAGTTTTCACTGTAATCAGCCACGAGAGTGTCCTCAGCATTGTATCCACCGTTTTTCACTTTTAAGACCCCTGCCAGGCCTCCCTGCCTCTCTGAGAACGGGGCAGGCAGCCTCCTGCAGGGCGAGTCCTTGGGGCTAACCACTGTGTCCCCTCTTGTCTGCTCTGCCCGTGTCCCTGACGCAGGCCATGTTCGAGCTGGTCACTTCCGAGGCCTCCTACTACAAAAGCCTGAGCCTGCTCGTGTCCCACTTCATGGAGAACGAGCGGCTGAAGAAGATCCTGCACCCGTCCGAGTCGCACATCCTCTTCTCCAACGTCCTGGACGTCATGGCCGTCAGTGAGCGGTAAGCCACCCGCTGCGGTCCTCGTGGGGCCTGGCTTTCCGACCCTTCTTGCCCGGGCTGGGGCATGGCTGAGGCAGGTGGTGAGTGCTCGTAACGCAGGTCTCTCTACTTCTGTGTGATTGGAATTTTCTATAAGGAAATATGAATAAATACATAAACCCGAAGGTCCGCCACCCCTCCCGGCAGGTGGCCGGTCACGTCCCCCTGGACGGGACTGCTGCTGCAGGTCCCTTTCCGTCAGCATGAGTAATCCGTGCGTCCCGCGCAGTCAGGCGGGCGTGTGCCTGGTACCATGACCGGCTCCGGGGGTGTCCGTGGAAGCTGTTCTCTATCCCGATGACGTCGCGAAGCCCCGGCTGGGTGTCCACAGGGCCCCGAGCCCCTCTGAGGGCCCGTGCAGAGCGCAGCCCTTGATAGGTGCTTTCTCCTCTCCAGCGGGATGGTGTTTGCCGTGGTACGTGGGCCTGGTTATGAGAACTGGGCTTCTCCTTTACGGAGCGGAGGACGAGTAGACAGACATCTATTCGTTGCTTCCTGCGTTCTCGCGAAGAAGGAATGAACTCTAATCACATCGCTAGCACAAGACACGCCTTTACCGTTGTCACTGCGGGCCATGGAGTTTTGCAACTGAGAGAGCAGAACTCCGCTTTCGGATCATCTGCTCCAGCCCCAAGCCTTCAGATGCAAAACCGAAGTGTGGCAGAGCTGCTGGCTCTCCGCGGCCCCCCGAGCAGCAGCGCCCCCCCCACCACACCCACACCCCACTTTCGCGTCTGCAGCGGGCTTGGGGGGTTGAAGGAGCCTAAGAGCAGAGCAGCCTGGAGACGCCCTCGGCCTCTGCCACTTCGCCCTCGCGGGAAGGAGGAGCGTCTTTTATCTATGTATTTATTTCTATTTTATTAGGAACAATTCCAAATATGCCGACTGCAGCAAGCCCCGAGCTCCCACATCCAGGTCCCGCCATGTCCCCACCCTTCCCCGTCGTCATTTCATCTGTAGACCCACCAGTATGTAGCTAAAGGATAAGGTCTCTCTCGCTTAAGAATACTTCTAATGCTATTTCCGCCTAAAAAAAAGTAAACAGTGATTCCTCGATGTGACCAAATTTGCCACCGGCGCTGGGACCCCATCCTGTCGTGTTTGTTGGTGTGTCCGAGCCGAGTCTGCCCCCCGCGCCCTGAGCCCCGGCCACTGCCTCCTGCAGGTTCCTCCTGGAGCTGGAGCGACGGATGGAGGAGAACGTCGTCATCTCAGACGTGTGCGACATCGTGCACCATTATGCAGCCAACGACTTCTCGGTCTACATCACCTACGTCAGCAACCAGACGTACCAGGAGAGGACCTACAAGCAGCTGCTGTGAGTGAGCCAGTCTGCGGGGCCAGTGCAGGCAGAGACGCAGGACTGCAGCCCTGCTCCACTCGGGGTCCTCGGACCTCTGCTTTCCCAGGCAGCATCCATGCCCGGCACGTGCCCGGGGACTCGGTGTCCCTAGAGGAACCTTGACCCCCAGGCGGTCAGCCACGGCCCCTGCACCTCTGCCCAGAATGGCAGCGCAGAGCTCTGTGAGGAGCAGGAAAGGGAGTTTAAGGCCAAGAGGGCAGCTCGAGGCCCAAGACGTCAGGGAAGTGATTTGAACTCGAGGCCACAGCAAGGCTGGGTGGGAGGAAGTCTTTTCGGTGGTCACCTAGCGACACCGTTGAACGTCTTGCTGATCTGCCCGTTTCGTAAACTTTCTTGGCGTTTTGGTTGACGAGATGATTTTTCGGTCGACTCGCCTCTTTTGGACCCTTTGCATTCTTGTCCCGGTTCCATGACACCATGGCACGTGATACGTTCTAAGCTCTACTCGGGAGCGTCCGAGGACTTTCGGAGGAGTGACATCTAGTCGTTACGCTTCACTGGGCCTTTCCATCCCAGCGTGTTGTCCCTTGTGGATATTTTAAAGCTTGAGTATTTGGAGGCTTGGGTGTTTTACAGTTTGGGTTTGGGATTGGGATTGGAGGGAATCAGGAAGCCAGTTTTGAGGGCAAGTGTCGAGAAGCCGAGCATACGGGAGAACAGGAATCTAGATACTGCAGTGCCCAAGGGTACTCTGTGTGGCCCATGAGTGCAGACTGTTTGGGCCCAAGGACAAGGCTGAGTGTCCTTGTCCCTGCTGACATGCTGTCCTGGCCTGCGTCTGGTCTCCAGCAGCAGTGCCCTGGAGCCCTCTGCAGCAGTGGCCCCGCCCACCGCCCAGCCCGCCTGCAGACCCCGCCTGCAGACCCCGCCTGCAGACCCCGCCTGCACCGCGCCCAGCCCATGCAGACCCCGCCTGCAGACCCCGCCTGCAGACCCCGCCTGCAGACCCCGCCTGGCAGGGACAGCACAGGCTCTCTCTGGCGGTTGTTTCCAGCCGCTGCCTGTTCCTGTCACTACGTGGGTTCACCTTGCCAAGGTTCCAGCTGGGTAAATCATTGAACTGTGCGTCTGATTCATAGACTTGGCCACGTGAGGATGCTCGCCCTCCCACGCACAGCAGATTTTGCTAAGTCTTCATGGGCCAGGCATGTGAAGCCACTACTGTCATTTGACTTGTACATGAACAGCTTAATTTCCATAAAATAAATAGATAAATAAGTTAGTCGATGCGTTCTCGGTGCCTGTGGGCTGTCTGGTTCCGATGAGGCTGTGAGTATGGAGGAAATGCCTCTGACTCACGCCTCCTGCCCGCCAGCAACCTGCCCTCGCGTCTGTGTCCCCAGCCAGGAGAAGGCCGCCTTTCGGGAGCTGATCACACAGCTGGAGCTGGACCCCAAGTGCAGGGGGCTGCCCCTCTCCTCCTTCCTCATCCTGCCTTTCCAGAGAATCACGCGCCTCAAGCTGCTGGTCCAGGTACCGCCTCCCCGATCCGACAGGCAGACCGGGCCCGTGTGTGCTTCTGCTGCTGTAGACCATTTCCTTCAGTCATTCGGGTCTCTGCTGGCTTTCTAGCAAGCCCATTTGTTACATAAATCCTAATTAAACTCCTACTATGTGCCAAGCAGTGGGGCACTCAGTCCCTGCTCCCAGGGAGCCGCATTGTCGGAGGGGAGAGAGGGACGAACACATGCAATCGGGAAGTGGTCATGGCCATGAGGACAAGCAAACAGGGAACATGTAGGGAGTGACCGCCTGGCCACTACCAGGTAGGGGGTCAGGAAAGAGTCTCAGAAAGGTCAGCACAGCCTTGGGGTTAATTGTGACGTGGCTTCAAATGGCAGTTCCAGAGGAGAGGGTAGGGAGCCCCTGGTGCCCGCCACAAGCATCAAGTACCCTCGGGGACAGGGCTGGCCCTGAGTGTGACCCGTTTCTCACTGCCGGACCCTGCCCGCCCCACCAGCACGGGGTCGCCTCCTTCACTTGGACCTTCAGTGTGCGGTGAGATCACGGGCTCCGGCATGGCCCTCAGGATTACCCATCGTGGGAGACGGGCTCGTGGGGAGCCCCTGAGAGCTGGGCAAAGCTTTGGGTCAGGATGCTCGACCCTGGGCTCAGCTGAGGGTTCTCCTGCCCTCCGTTGTTACCCGGTAGAGACCTTTGTACATGGACGTCATAGCAATGAGAGGCTATGTGGACCAGTGCAGCATGGGGGCCGCCACGGCAGGCGGGGCGGGCAGAGAGGGGAGAAGCGGCCATCGTGAGAATTAACGCAGACTTTCCCTGTGCCCAGAACATCCTGAAGAGAGTGGAGGAAAGGTCTGAGCGTGAGTGCACCGCCTCGGATGCCCACAGAGAACTGGAGCTGGTGAGCGCGCTTCCTCTTGCTGTATTTCTCAGTAAACCGTCTCCTCGCCTAGACCCACCTTCCTGGTCCGGCACCGCCCATGTCCGTGTGTCTCTGGAAAGTGCAGATGCATTTTAATATTTGCTTTTGCAATCCAGAAAAGTCACCGGGTCCAAACAACAGGCCAGGCGTGGCCCGGGCAGAGTGGCGTGTCCTCCTTCACAGGGCTGTCGTGTGCCCCCGGTGGACTCGGCAGCAGCCAGGCCGTCTGTACTCACGCTGACCTCTGCTGCCACCCACAGGCCTGTTCTGCTCAGCAGCCGCCTCCCCGGGGCCGCTTGTCCTTGCCTGTTTCCAGTGTCTTCCCTCCTGTGACTCTGGGAGGCCGGTCCTGAGCCCTGATGTAGCACCGCCCCAAACCCCTCCCTCCACGCCACTCCCCGTCCCTCGTCCCTCGTCCCTCGAGCTGCGCCTCTCCTATCTCTGTGAGAGGACTCAGCGGCCCGGCCGAGCCCTGGGCTTTCCCTGCCCACACGTGGAGAAGCCGCGTCTGCTGCTGATGCAGCGGGTGGGGGCTGTGCGGGAGGGGCCCGCGGGTGTGCGTGTTCTCGCGTGCTCGGCCCACGTGGCGCCTTCTGCTCTCAAAGCGCTGTCTGCTGGTGTCAGCCGGAGCCGCGAGCCAGTTCTTAGCAGCCGTGCGGGGGCCGCCATCATGCCGGTGACCCCACGATGGACGAGAGCATGGGAGTCCTTTCCACTTCCTGTCCCAGTGGCCAAAGCTCAGTAGAGGGACGAGCCTCAGTGGGCATCTGAGCCACGCCGAGGCCCAAGGAGTCTGAAGTTCGTGCAGCCATCTCCCCCCGGCCCTCTCCTCACGCCCCGTATTCAGACCAGTTGGCCCCCAGAATCCTTCCGGCAGTTACACCCTTTGAATATTGGGGCAAACAGCTCTCTCTCCTCCCAGCCTAGTGGCTAAAAGGCTGGAGCCTCAGCGGGCTGGTCAGGCGGCGTCAGCGACCTATGGGTCAGGCAGCATCTTTCAGAGCCCTGTATTCACCCCTGGAACTTACACACCTGGCCGGATGGGAGTTCATTCCAGCCCCCACCGGGCACCTGGCCACACTGGGTCACAGGGAAGTCCAGTGACCACCGAGGCCCGTGAGAGGCCCGTGTGCCGCAGGGTCTCCCGGCAGTCAGCGAGCCTTTCCCATTTTAAGTTCTTTTCTGCGGTCATCTCTCTTTCTTTTCCTCATGATGGAAGGTACTCCTGTTTCTCACAGATGATCTTCTTTATAAAGACTTTTTTTCTAATTTATAAAAGCAATCGATACGCAATACAAAAAAAATTCAGGAAGTGCTCATAAGTAAAAAGAAGACGGCGAAGGTCGCACCAGGTCCCCCCCCACGCCCCACTGCGGACGTGCTGGCGCGCGCCCTTCCAGACGCCTTTCCAAACAGGCGCCTGCACATGCGACCGTGTTCTTTGTGGTTTATAAGCCGGCCTTGCTCTCCATTTAGTGCAGGTAAAGTTTTTGCAATTTTTAATGCGTTCAGAGTACTTGGTCATGTGGCTATATTAGCGCTGATCAATCCCAGCTGGTGGACATTTGGGTCAATGACACGTATTTTTCTCATTCTAAAGAACGCTGCCGGAAGCATCCTAGTTCCCACATCTTTGAGAACCATCCTCATTCACAAATACGGAGAGCCTCTGGGTGCTGGGCTCTATTCCAGACAACACGGTGCAGGGCGGACTATGGTCCCCAGCAGTCCCGGGACATGTGGTTTTATTAGGTCTCTTAGTACCTGGGTTGCTTCCCAGGAAAGTGGGGGACCCACACTCCTCTACAGTGTGTGACAGCGTCTATGTCCCCGTACTTGGCCAGCCTGGAGCCTTGTCGGCCTATCTGCCTTTGCCAGTCTGACTGATGAGAAAGCACATCCCATCGTTTAAGTGTCTCTCTAGGTGACAGGAAGGGCCATTTTATGTCCTCCAAGGCATACTTCCTGGGAAGGATGAGGCACTAACTTCTCCACCAGAGCTGAGAACCACAACAGCCTGACAGGTTTTCCCACTTTGCTTTTGTTCCAGAAGGTATTAGAGAAAAGAGTTCCAACCTGATGGAGATGGGCCAGTCAGTCTCAGCTGTGGGCCCAGTGTCTAGACACAGTGGTTGTTCAGCCCTCTGGGGCCTGAGTGAGCAGAAGGAAGTGGCCGGGGACAGCTGGCTGCAGATGGCCTGATGTGTCCCCGTTCCTGTCCTAGGTGGTAAAAGCATGCAACGAGGGGGTCAGGAAAATGAGCCGCACGGAGCAGATGATCAGCATTCAGAAGAAAATGGAGTTTAAGATCAAGGTGAACTCACACCCACCTGTGTGGGTCCAACCCAGCCCAGCTGACCTGGAGCGTCGGTCACTGGCCAGGCTCCCTCAATGGCCACCCATGGGCCTCAGTGCAGTGTCCCTTCCCCCAAGGCCTTCCCTGACCCCCTAGCTGTTGGGCTCCCACCTGCCCCCCACAAGTCACCAGGCCGTCACACTGGCCTAGACTGTCTTCTGAGCCGAGACCCCACGGCAGCCGGCTCTCGTTTACACGAAGTGCGAGGCAGGGACCAGCCCAGGGATCCTTACAGCTGGGAGAGTTGAAGAACCAATGGAAGCTACCAGCCTTCGCCCCCAGCTTGACCTCGAGCTTCCGCATTAATGAGCCGAAGGGCCCCGAGGTGGGCACATGGCAATGAAGGCACATGACCACACAGTGCCCAGCGAGAGTCTCTGAGGTCATCCGGTCGGGGGTGCAGCCGTGGCCTTCTGGGCCCAGGGGTGTAGCTCCCCCTGCTGGGCTGACTGCCAGTGACAAGAGACTGGCCCTGAGCCACTCAGTGGGGACTTCTCTCCCCTGTGACCTTGGCCTTCCTCTCATTCTGAGTCACATGAGCTGACCCTGGCGGGGGACGATGACACACACACAGAGGTGCCCACATGTACACAGATTCACACACGTGTACAGACATACCATACCCATGGACACACTCAGACAACAGCACATGTGCGTAGGAGCACACACAGATACATAGCTGTAGATAAGACGCAGCTGCACACGCGCACACGCACACAGGCGTGCGTGCGCACACACACACACACACACACCGCCCTCCGCACTGGCCCGGGACTCGCCCCTTCCTCCCACCAGTGCCGCGTGTGTTCTGGGCCCGGCGCGGTTCTCTCTCCAGTCCGGGCACCAGGGAGCCTCGGGAGGGCGTGGAGGCGCCCGCCGTCCTAACACTGCCCCTCCCCCCCGCCCCCCAGTCGGTGCCCATCATCTCCCACTCCCGTTGGCTGCTGAAGCAGGGCGAGCTGCAGCAGATGTCGGGCCCCAAGACGTCCCGAACGCTGCGCACCAAGAAGCTCTTCCAGGAAATTTATCTCTTCCTCTTCAACGACCTGCTGGTGATCTGCCGGCAGATCCCTGGGTGAGCGGGCCGGGCACCGCCTGGGCTCCGGGGTGCAGCGTGGGGGAGGGGGCTCGCCGTGGCCTGGGGCAGCTCAGGCTGTGACTCAGCTGTAAAGTCAGCTGCCTTCTTGTCCAGTGTGGGCCTTTGGGTGACTTTATTTAAGCCCCAGCCTCAGCTTTCCCTCCAGTCAAGTGGGGTTTTACTCCTGGGGACATGGAGAGGCTAGCCCAGCGCCCCGCACGTAAGGGCTCAGCAGTGTGGCCACTGTGGCCGCGTCGGTGCTGACCCCTGGTCCCACGGGAGGGGACAGTTTGGGGGTGAGGGGGACAGGTGTTCAGGTGGGGCCTTCGGGAGGGAGGGCGGGAGTGGCGGTGAGGCTGGTCCTGCTGGCTGGCCTGTGCGAGGGGTCCCCTGGGCCACCCAGGCCGCCTCGGGACCAACGTGCCTGCCGTGCCACCCTTGGTCCCCAGAGACAAGTACCAGGTGTTTGACTCAGCCCCGAGGGGCCTGCTCCGTGTGGAGGAGCTGGAGGACCAGGGCCAGACGCTGGCCAACGTGTTCATCCTGCGGCTGCTGGAGAACTCCGATGACCGGGAGGCCACCTACATGCTGAAGGCGTCCTCTCAGTGAGTGCCTGGTGCCACCCCCCACACGCCATGTCACCTGCCCAGGTGGAGCAAGGCTCCAGGGTTCAGCACACAGCCTGCCTCGGCCCGTTCTCCCCGCCCCTGGGCCCTGGGGTCTCTGTCTGGGGTTGGTGTCGGGGCGCGTGGCCATTGGGGGGTGGCTGCCCATTGCCTGGTGTGAATGTGTGCATTCTCTTGGCCCCCTTTTCCGATGAGATGTTGTAGAACTGTTGGGCCAGGCTGACCAGGGCACCACCATCACTGTGTGACCCGTCTGGTCACCTCTCCGAGCAGCCAGGCCACTGGCCCTGCAGCCCCCAGGCTCTGAGAGGGACAGCCAAGACCAACGTGGGGAGACGCTCTGTGTGGGGCGTGGCCCCCTCCATCCCTCGGACTGCCCATCTCGGTCCCCTTCCCACTGCCTGGGGCGATGGCGTCTCCCAACAGGCTGTGGCTTCCAGGCAGCTGGCCATCGAACACTTTTGTGTGTTAATTTTGGGGTGTGGTGGAGCGCTCACCTTCACCAACTGAATGTTTAAAGTGTACTGGGGAGATCGCAAGGCTCCCCAGCCTCTCCCTGGCTGCTGGGCACCGTCCGAGTGTCCAGCCGGCCAGACACTCGGCACCACGCCTCAGGCGCGCTATAGTTGGGCGTTTGTCCTCTTCCCTGTCCCAGGAGTGAGATGAAGCGCTGGATGACCTCGCTGGCCCCCAACCGGAGAACCAAGTTTGTTTCCTTCACATCTCGGCTGTTGGGTAAGTGGCCGTCTGGGACGAGGACGCCTCCGGGCAGGGCAGGTGAGGCCTTGGTGGCATCAGTCCCAGGTGCTGTCTGAGCTCTGCCTAAAAGGGCCATGCTTCCCATGCCAGTCCTTCTGTGGCCTCCAGGATGCCCGCTCCAGCTGCCTGAGCGTCCCACGTGCCAATTGCAAACTTAGTGTCCAATGGAAGACACTGATGGGCTTGCCAAGTTCTGCAAACAGTTGCATGGTTACTGAAGGAATAAGTCACTGGGTCCTAAGTGACAGGTACTGCAAGGAAGCCATAAGGAGTCTGGCCCGGAGGCGAACTCCAGTGTTCTTTGGGGTTGCCAGTTGTCTGAAAACCTTACAGAACATAAAGGGCACAAGTCCAGCTGCCCGACGGGAAGCTGCCCTCTGTGACAGTGCTGAGTCCCCAGCACCCACCCTTCTCCCAGGGCCTCGCCCCAGGTCCGAGAAGCCTGCACAGCCTGTTCATCCCTTGATCCACGTGTTGTTTCCTCCGAGCCCCCCGCTATATTAATCTCCTTTTCTTGAAGCCAAGCCTCCCCACCCCCCCCAAAAAATGACCCCTTTTCAGCAGCTGCCGGAGAGGCAGCGCCACGTCAGGGGGTGTCCAGGGTTTGCTGGGTAGGGAGCAACACAGCGACACGGTGATGAGGACATGCCACCTTCCTCCCCTCCCTCAGACTGCCCCCAGGTCCAGTGCGTGCATCCATACGTGGCCCAGCAGCCGGACGAGCTGACGCTGGAGCTGGCGGACATCCTAAACATCCTGGACAAGACAGAGGACGGTGAGGCGGCGCATGGCCATTGCGCCCACTTATGCCCCGGGACTCTGCACCTGGCCCCACACCAGCCTGAGGATGAGGTGGGGCATCTCCGCCCCAGGTGGAAGCAGCCAGCAGAGCCTGATGATGGGCTGTGGAACCCAGGTCCCAGGCTCCCCTAGATCGTTCTGCCCATCGTGGCTTCCCAGGCTGTTCTCAGAGCAGAGAGGGAGCTTCTCCCAGCAACTCTGCTCTCCTCCCCCAGAGCTCCAAGGTCCGCCTCCCCGCTTAGCACCAGGCCCGACCTGAGCGCCCAGCTCCGTTCTGCACCTTCCCCTCAGCCAGGCCTGGCTTTGGCCCAGCCGTCACAGTGGTAGGGAGGACAGCCAGAAACACCCTCACTCTAATCCTGACCCTAGATCCTGGATTTGCACCGAGCTCCCAGGTGAGCCTGTGACCGCCAGGCTCAGAGCCCCATGTGGGGCCAAGAAGCCACACCCCAGCTCCCACCCATCCCTGCTGACAGCATCAGTGCCCAACGAGGTTCACTCCCCTCCCTTGAAAACTGGACCCCTTACTTCCACATCAGTTGTTCCTCAGGAACCCCCAAACCTGCACAGAGCGTCCCCCCGCCCCCAGTCCCTCCGCCCCTTCGAGGTCCTGGCTGGAAAGCCTCAGGCTAGTAACCTCCAGGGAAGGCCATTTCTGCTGGTCCCAAAGCCCAGGGGCTCACCCAGCACTGGAAGAGCAGTGTTGCCTCCTTCCCACAGACAAAGAGCCCGACACCCCTTCCACGTGGCCTGTAGAAGGCACGCCCCAGGCTCTCAGACCCCAGGTCCTTACCCTGCCCTAGCACCTGCCCAGGGACCCCGTGCTGCAGGGTGATCTCTGGGGGCGGGAAAGAGAGCCAGGACGCCCTGCTGGTGTCGACCAGGTCACGATGGCCACCCTCACCTGACCGCCTGGCTCCTGGAGGCTGAGGCTCAGAGAGGGATGCCCAGAGAGGGTGACGGTGGCATTCTCGGCCAGGTAACCATCAGTCAGCCGCCACCCCCACTGGCCCCTTGGATGTCTCTCGTTTGGGGGGCTGGCCCTTGGGGGTCTCTTGATCTCCCAGGATTGCTGAGGGCTCAGGAGTAGGTTCCAAAGGCGATACATTTGGGACACACCGTGGCACAGAGCCCTGCTGGCTCCGTCGCAGCCGCGTGCACAAACACTGCTCCCTAGGAGGGCGTCGGGGCGGGACCTCCCCAGCATATGGGGGCAAACCCAATCTGCGGTCTCCAGCAGGGGTTTTCGGAAAGCCCATTGGACTCCTGCATCTTCCCTGTGCTCCCTGCACGGACGGCGGCCTGGCCAGGGCTCCTGACCCTCCCCGTCTCCTCCCTGCGCAGGGTGGATCTTTGGTGAGCGGCTGCACGATCAGGAGAGAGGCTGGTTCCCCAGCAACACAACCGAGGAGATCCTGAATCCCAAGATCCGGTCCCAGAACCTCAAGGAGTGTTTCCGTGTCCACAAGATGGATGACCCTCAGCGCAGCCAGAATAAGGACCGCAGGAAGCTGGGCAGCCGAAACCGGCAATGACCCCCAGTATCCAGCCCCGCAGAGGGATGTGGGCGGGGCCTGCAGGCAAACCCACAGACGGTGGAGGGGCTCGGGGGGAAGGTGACCGTGTACAGGAGTCACCCCCTCCTCCCTGCCACCTGGTGAGTGCTCGTGTGTCTTGGCCCTTCGCTTGCAAACTGGAAAACGGCTGCCCACATCTTTCCTCGGATGCGTTTGTAAATGAGAAAATATTTGAAGCAGTATTACACCACCTCTCCCTCTTGTCTCTTAGAGGGGACGGAAGGGGATTGGCATGCTCCAGGGGCCTTCCCCAGACCCAGGATGCCCCTGGCCGAGGGCAGGTGCAAAGGTGAAGATTGTCATGACCCCCTGCACGTGCCCTTCTCTGCCCTGGAAGCCGTTAGACTCCTCCAGGTGTGCAGATGGACTGCCCCTGCCCAGTGGGCTCGATGAGTGGCCCTTGGTCTCCAGTTCTCAAGACTGAGAGACCAGCTGCCTCTGTCCACCTCCGCCGCCTCTGGCTGCACGGCCAGGCCCTGCCTCATGGCAGGCCTACCAGAGCTTGGCCGAGGGCCCATCCGCTCTGGCTCCCTGATGGGCTGGATGTAACTTGTGTCTTCTAGCTCTTTAAGGAGCCCAGGTGTTGTAAGGAATGAATTGGTCACTGCATCTTGTATTGGTTATGGTTCCAAGAAAAGCAAGTTATCATTTTTGGCTGCATTAAAAGAAGCATCATGTATAAAATGAAGGAGGTGAACCTCTACTTTTTATTGCCCTGCGGCACACAGGGATGAGGTGTTTCGTTCTGGGCAGGGAGAGAGGAGTCCCCTTCAAGGTCAGTGGAGAAGGTGTATCCTGAGGACGGGGTTGAGGAGGCTTCTGGCGGAGGAGGGGGCAGCCATGGTCAGGGGCTCAGGATGGAAGCAGATTTGGGCCTCCACCTGTTCAAGGACTCCAGAGATGGGAAAGGCTGTTTGAGGGAGTCGGTGACCCCCTTCTGCTGAAGTAGACATGAGAACGCAGGTTTGGAAGACCATGATGGGACAGAGGTGTTGATGCGTGGTGGTCCCACAGGGAATCCGGCCACCAGGCGTGGGACTGGGCCTTCCTGCCTGGCCGGTCACTGGCCGGTCACTGGCCTTGGGCACTCCTTCTCACTGTCGGGGGCAGTGGCCAGTTACCTTAGGCACAGCTCCCCCCCGGCCCGGCTGGCCCTCACAGCCACCCCACTGTCACTCCTGGTTCTATCCTGGAGTGTGGACGGGCCTGAATCTGACCCCGCTCGGCCCTGCCTGCCCAGGGCCTCGCTACTGCTGCCAGGACACACTTTCCCTGGCGCCAGAACCCGAGGTTCAGACCCAGAGGAACTTTGTAGCTTCTCCCCGTCGGCCACAGCATGGCTCGTGGCATTCTTGAGACCACAGACCCTTTGAAAATCACATGAATCCTGGAAGAGGCATGCACGTGTCACATGATTGTTTACCTGGGGAGGAACCCCTGGTCCTTTTTGGGACAGATGCTTTTGGGGCCTGTAACACCCCAGGAAGTGTTGGCACCTGAGTCCCTCAGGAGTGAGGAAGGGGGAGTAGGGCCGTTTCTGAGCCCCATGCTGCTGGTGGGGGCTCTAGGGTCACATTGGGGGGAGGGGTCGTCCTTTGGCCTTGGCCCCTGTCCAGCTTATTTTTCAAAGCTGGGAAACAGCATGCTGACTTGGATCATCTGCTCCAATGCGGGCTTTGTCCACTGGAGGTTATGTGAAATGAAATAACTTAAACAGTTTCATGAAGACCGGTCAGTTTCATAAGAGCTTTATGAGCAGAAACTTGTAACCCATGACGCGCTTTGGGGAGTGTGTATGGGTACCCCGTGTGCTCGTCTGGAGTACCCAGGAGAAAACTGGTCTTTGCAGGAACAGGTGTGGCCAGGTGGGGCAAAGCAGAGGCCAAGGCAGCTGCTGAGACAGTGCGGGGGTGGAAGGAGGCGGGGGAGCAGCCCCCACCTGCCACCAGCAGCTCCGAGGCTCCCCCAGGGGCCCGGTGTTCGACCCTGGGGTTCGCAGACAGTCCCTGCTCCGGGTCTCTGCTTCTCCGGAAGGGCCCTGTGGGGCAGGGACAGTCGCAGCTCTGGCTTCTTCCCTGCTGCACCCAGAGCAGGTCAGCCAATATTTGAAACCTCGCTAAACACTAGGCTTCGTGGGACGCCTGGAAGACGGGGTGCATGGCCCAGCTGCAGTGCTGGGGTCATCACCGTCACTCAGCACTGCCCCGCATCCCCACGAGCTTGTGGGGTTCAAGTGAGGAGAGCTGAGCTTGAAAAGGCTTTTTGTGTTCTTTCTCTCAACGAACAAGCCATCCTTCATGCGGGCTACCGCAGGCCCGATGCTCCCGTGAAGCCAGTTACTTGCAGCTTGACCCCAGCCAGGCTGGGCAGCCTGGGGCCGCAGGTGGGGGACCCGCCGGGCCCACAACACCTGGGTTTCATCATCAGTGGCTCATCCTGCTCCCTGGGCTCCTGGGGTAGAGGTGACCCCGGGAACCCTGGGGGTGCAGGTGTGGAGCTCTAAGCCCGCAGGCAGGGCTCCCGCCTTCCCAAAAAGAAAACAGCCTCTGGCCAGGAGCCCCGACTGCGGCCCAACCCCCTCCCCGACCCCCATCTCCCGGCCAGCCGCACGAAGCAGGCGGCCCCCCAGGCAGGCTGGGCCGGCCCCTCGGGTCTCGGCCGCCCACGGTCCCGCCAGCCGCTCC